TGGAAGTCCTGGGTTCGAAACCCCAAACCAACAAAAAAAAAAAAAAAAAAAGCCTGGTGAGTCCAAGACACAGAGGAAAAGATAAAAACTCAGAGAAGTGATCTGGAGAGAACGAGCAACAGGAGAGGAATGGGTGAAATCATCCTCAAACCAAAAGAGAAATCACAAAGACTGAATTTTAAAATCCCAGAAAGGCCAGGCACTGGTGACTCACACCTGTAATCCTAGCTACTCAGAAAACTGAGCTCTGAGGATCACAGTTCAAGGCCAGTCCTGGGCAGGAAAGTCTATGAAACTCTCATCTCCAAAGAATCACCCAAAAACCAGAAGTGGCGCTGTGGCTCAAGCAGTAGAGCACTCACCTTGAGCTGAAGAGCTCAGGGACAGCACTCAGGCCCAGAGTTCAAGCCCCACAACAGACCCCCCCCAAAAAAAAAATTCCCGGAAAGGTAATAAACCACAGGGACAGGCAGAAGGTAAATGAGCACACACACACACACCATACAAAGTGAGTAGACAGATCATGTGATTCTTGTTTTTTATTACAGTAGTCAAGAAATACTTCCTGCTGGGTGCTAGTGGCTCACACTTGTAATCCTGTCTACTCAGGAAGCTGAGATCTAAGGATCACAGTTCAGAGCCAGCTGGGGCAGGAAAGTCCATGAGATTCTTATCTCCAGTTAACCACTAGAAAACCAGAAGTGGCACTGTGGCTCGAAGCACTGGCCTTGAGTTAAAAGAGCCCATGGACAGTGCCCAAGCTCTGAGTTCAAGCCCCACAACTGGCAAAAAGAAAACAAAAACTTCCTGGGCACAGCTGATTATAGACTGGTGTAGGCTAATGGAATGGTGGGGGGGGGGGGGGGGGGAGGGTAGAGTCAGACAAGAGTCTTCCATTTTGGACCCTTTGTGAGGGATTAATAATATTGATCAGGGACTAAAAAGTGCTTTAAAAATTAAGCTGGGCACTGGTGGCTCACAACTGTCATCCTAGCTGCTCAGGAGGCTAAGCTCTGAGGATTGTGGCTCAAAACCAGCCCAGGCCAGAAAGTCTGTGAGACTCTGATATCCAGTTAATCACCAAAAAGCCAGAAGTGAAGCTGTGGCTCAAGTGGTAGAGGACCAGCCTTGAATAAAAAAACCAACTGAGAGCACTGGGCCCTGAGTTCAAAGCATCAGTATCAGAAAAGAAAAACAATGGGCTGGGAAGGTAGCTCAGTGGTAGAGTGCTTGCCTTGCATGCATGAGGCCCTGGGTTCGATTCCCCAGCACCACATAAGCAGAAAAATAAAAAGCCAGAAGTGGCACTGTGGCTCAAGTGATAGAGTGCTAGCCTTGAGCTGAAGAGCTGAGGGACAGCGCCCAGGCCCAGAGTTTAGGCCCCACGACTGGACCCCCCAAAACAAAAAGGTTAAGAAAAAAGGAGAGGGGGCTGGGAAGGTGGCTTAGTGGTAGAATCCTTGCCTTGTATGCATGAGGCTCTGGGTTCGATTCCTCAGCACCACATAAGCAGAAAAAGTCAGAAGTGGCACTATGGCTCAAGCGGTAGAGCTCTAGCTTTCAGCTGAAGAACTGAGGTACAGTGCCCAGGCCTAGAGTTCAACCCCCACGACCAAAAACAAAAAGGAGGTGAGGTTGAGGGTATGGAGTTTGGAGTTGGGGTGTGTAGCACAGGTGAGTGGGTGTGTAAGGGAGTGAGGGAGAGCAGCGTCTGAGCAGCAGGATGGCTTGGGGTGGGCGCTGCAGAACGTGGTAGTGAGTGGAGGAGAGAAGCTGAGCCGGGGGATGGAGACTTCCCTCTTGGATGACTTAGGTTGGAGGAGCCTGGGAGGCGCCCAAGCCAGCTATCAGGTAGCTGACTGGATACGGAGACAAGAGTCATGGAGAGGTCACAGCTAGAAATATAAGTTTTGGAAATGTCAGCATATAGGAGACATTTAAAGCCATGGAACGGTATAAGGAGGCTTGTTAGGTTGAGTGCAGTCCACCAACACTAGTGGCTCACACCTCTAATCCCAGCTAATCATGATCTGAAGATTGTGGTTTGAAGATAGCCTGGGCAGGAAAGTCTGCAAGACTCTTTATCTCTAATTAACCATCATTTAAAAAGCCAGAAATAGGGCTAGGAATGTGGCTTAGTTGTAAAGTACTTGCCTAGTATACATGAAGCCCTGGGTTTGATTCCTTGGTTCCACATACACAGAAAAAGCCAGAAGTGGAGCTGTGGCTCTAATGGTAGAGTGCTAACCTTGAGCAAAAGAAGCTCAAGAACAGTGCCCAGGCCCTGAGTTCAAACCCAGGATGGCAAAAAAAGAAAAGAAAAAGCCAGAAATAATCTGGGTGCTGGTGGTTCATGACTGTAATCCTAGCTACTCAGGAGGCTGAGATCTGAGGATCATGGTTCAAAGCCAGCCTGGGCAGGAAAGTCCATGAGACTCTCATCTCCAATGAACCATCAGAAAACCGGAAGTGGCACTGTGGCTCAAGTGGTAAAGCACTCACCTTGAGCTGAAGAGCTGAGGGACAGCGCCCAGGCCCAGAGTTCAAGCCCCATGACTGACAAGAAAGCCAGAAAATGGGAGTTGTGGCTCAAGTGGTAGAGCACCAGTCTTGAGAGAAAATAGTGAAGGCACCTGGTACTGACATACACACAACCTCCCCCTTAAAAACAAAAAAACCTGAACCAGACAAGCGTCACCTCAGCATCTTGTGACTCACTGGCTTGTTCATTTGCTCATGGATTCACTCCTCCGTGCCCATCAGCCGGTGTGCGTCCTGTGTGTGACCTGCAGAAGGGTGAAGAGTTCCACCAGCCCCGGCTTTTGCCACAGTCTGCTGGAAAAACCAGACATGACCTCCCAGGGCAATGTGTGTTACCATGGAAGATTCTAGAATAGAGGTGGGCAAAAGGGGAATTCCCCACTGGGCCCTAGGCCCCCTCTGCCCATGGCAGAGATGTTGGTGGGAGGTGGGCACCACTGGGGTAGAAAGGCAGAGGTGGGGGGAAACAGGCCCTGCTGCCTGGTCACCCAGCTGTCCTTGCCCCTGGGAGTTGAAATCCATGGAAGGTCCCCCGAGTGCCCCATCTAATAAATCTGATGATGAGGATGGCTGCTCTGGTTCACATTCACTCGCCCCGTCCTGCCTTTTCTACCCACTGGGGAACTCAGGACCTGACGCCACAGGAAGCCATCCATCCCAGAAGATGCAGCAGTCTAGCTCAAGCCTTCCTCCTCTATGTGCAAGAATCTGCATGCCAGCCCAGAGTCCTCCTCCCTCAGACCCCAGGGGCCTGAGCCCCAGCCTCCTCCTTAGACCCCAGTGTCCCAGGCCCAGCCTCCTCCCTCAGGCCCAAGTTAGTTCCTGTCCCATCTGGCCTGGTAACCCGGCTGCCCAACTCAGGCCCCAGCTTCTACAGGAACCTGTCTTGGGCCCACCTTCAGTCCACTAGGAGATGTGAAGCTTGGAGGTTCACCCCTAACCCCTCACCCCCACACCCTGTGGCAGAAACAAATCTCTCTTGTTACCCCCACTTCCAGGCCCAGCCCCCAGCTCCTCCCTCCCCTTAAAATATCCGGGTCCCTATGGCAACAGGCAACAGGTGCAGTGTTATTTACGGTGGAGCCCAAAATAGCCAGCAAGAGGCCAAGGGGGGCAGAGGCTGAGGCTGGGCGCAGCGGGTGGAGCCGGAGGGTCCTGAGGCGGCCAGCGGAGCCCGGATTGATGCAGGAGCAAGAGGGGGCCCTGCCCTGGTCAGTAGGGTCCCGGGGAGGGGGCGTGGAGGAACTCCTGCGGGCTTTGTCCCTCCTTGGAGCCACAGAGGGGCCCGAGATCCCCAGCCTCAGGCCCCTTCCCTGGACTCCATGGTGCCCCTCTCCCCTCAGCCCCCATTTTTCTGCCTGAGTAGAGACCTTCTGAAATCTCTGAATGGCCAGGGAGACCCCCTCGCCCCGTCCTTCTCCTCTGAACTCTACCCAGGATCCAACTGACTGGCTGTGAATTCATTTTGGGGGGGGGCATCTTGTTCCTCTGAGACCTGAAGGAATTCCAGCTTACCCTAGGGACCCCACTTTTCCCCTTAAGTACCCCTAAAGAGTCCTCAGTCTTCTGTTCTCCAACTCTGAGCCCCAAAGAACCCAGACCACATTTCTCAAGCACTGGGAGGACCTGGGCTCATTTTCTTGGGCACCGCAAACTCGGGGTGCCGGTGAGGTTTCGCCTCTGGGCCCCCAGGTCCCCATCCTGAGACCTGGCTCTCCCACTGGGCCCTATCCGTGTGTGCAGTTTTATGGGTTCCCTGGTGGTCCCCTGACCCTTCCCAGCCCCCGAGATCCAGAAATCATCTCCTCTGGATCCCAGACGGGCCTCCAGTGCACGTGGGGTTCCGGGGTTCCAGGGCACACTAAGTCCCCACTCCCCTCCAGAACCCTCTGTCCCTCAGGACCCCAGCTGGGCGCTGCCTCCTCCGGCTTGGCCTGCGCCCCATCCACAGCTGTGACCATGATGTGGTCTAACTTCTTCCTGCAAGAGGAGGACCGGCGCCGGGCAGCCGTGGGCCGGCGCCGTGCACAGGAACAGCGCAAGCCGGGCCTGACGGCCGCGCGCGAGGGTGCCGTCAAGCTGGTGCTGGTGCTGGCAGCGCTGGGCGCCACGCTGGCCGTGCTGGCCGTGGGCACAGAGTTCTGGGTGGAGCTGAACACCTACAAAGCCAACGGCAGCGCCGTATGCGATGCAGCCCACCTGGGGCTCTGGAAGATGTGTGCCAAGCGGCTGTGGCAGGCGGACGTGCCCCCAGCCAGGGCTACCTGTGGCCCTGCAGAGCTGCCTGGAGGTGAGAGGGGCTGGGAGAGGGGGAGACAGACAGACAGAGATGGAGAGACAGAGAAAGACACAGCCAGCCCATGTCCCTAAGTGGCGCCTGTGTTTGCAGATGGTGGCTGTGGCTTGTACCCCAAGACCAGTCCATCCCCACAGTCTTTGCTCCCAAGGACCTGGACCCTAGACCAGCCTGTGCCCCCCCACAAGGGCCTGTGTCCCCAGGCCTAGCCTGTGGCCACAGATAGACCTTGTCCACCCCAGCCAGTCCATAACCCCTTGAACAGCCTGTGCTGCCCCCACAACGAGCCGGGCCCCTTTCCACCCCTACTGCAGGCTGCCTGGCTCTGCCATGAGCCCCAGGGAAGCAATCACCCCCCACTGAGTGCATCCTGAAAGCAGAAGTACCACCAGACGCCAACCACTTTGGTGGGCCAGACCCTGTGCCCCTCCCCACACTCCCAGGGGAATGCTTTCCTGTTCTTCTCATTATCCACCCACACTGGACCTTCCAAGTCGTCTCCTTTCCTCTGCAGGCCCATCACACCCCTCTCCCCGCACGGTGCCAGGGCTATCCCATGGCTCTCATTGGCTGGTACCACCTCTGTGTCCACCAGGCACATTCTACACCCCTGGGAACTAGAGAGGGCTCATCCCACCTCTGCTGACCCAAAATGATGTCTACGCTAGATAGCCATCTGTCTGGGCCTCCTTGAGTGGTTGGGATGTCTCTCACAGGGTGATGAGCCTAAGCTTTTGCCAAGTGGAATGTCCTGGGAATATACGTGGAAGATGCTTAGGTAGTCCCCCGCCCTGTGCTCAGTACTTCAAACTCATTGTCAAAGGAACGCTGAGATGACTTAGCCATGTCCCACAGAACACTGCAGAGCAGAAACCCATGGCCGCTCTGACGAGGTACTGGGTGTCTGTGCTCCCAGTGACATGCTATGTCACCTGTCACTAGCACTAAGAGGTCCCAAAGACCCTCCCCTGCCAGCAGAGACACCCCCACACTAATTGCACAAGTGGGGGTCCCTCCCATCCCTCATGCTCAGAAAGGACTTCACAGCCAGGTGCTGTGGCTCACGCCTGTAATCCCAGCTACTCAGGAGGCTGAGATCTGAGGCTCTCAATTCAAAGCTAGCTGGGACAGGCGAATCTGAGAGCCAGACACTCATCTCTCCCACAACCCAGCAAAACACCAGACGCGGAGGCACACCATGGCCCAAGCAGTAGGGCACCACAATTGTTACCCCGTTATTCCGCTCCCAACAGGACATCTCGGTCTCCACAGGCTCAGAGAGGTAGCTCGCACTTCAGGACGGAGTCTTGCTTGGCTGCAAGAGGCCGACGCACAGCCCGTTGGAATGAGATAGTTCACAGCCTTTGGGGGTGGACAGACGCAGTGTCCTGTCATCAGTAAGCAACATGGGTGCCAGGTGCTCCCCGCCATCCCAGAGCCCCACCCCCACCCCCTGTGTCCTTCCCACTGAGCCTCTGCGGCCTAGCCTAGCCCCAGAGCAAACTTGGCTTCTCTTCCAGCTCCTCAGCACGGCGGCGTTTGAGCTTGCGCCTGACCTCCCGCTCTGGCTGCCAGGGGGAACACCTGCCCACACCCAGCTCAGGCTCATCTCTGTCTCTTGCATACCCCTCCTCACTCTGGGGAGTTCCTGTTCCCATTCTTCAGGCTGCCTGCTTCTCCTCTGATGTTCTTTTTTATTTTATTTATTTTTTTTGTCAGTTGTGGGGCTTGAACTCTGGGCCTGGGCACTGCTCCTCAGCTCTTCAGCTCAAGGCTAGTGCTCTATCACTTGAGCCCCAGAGCCACTTCCAGTTTTCTGAGTGGTTTATTGGTGATGACAGTCTCATGGATTTTGGTGCCGGGCCTGGCTTTGAACCATGATCCTCAGATCTCAGCCTCCTGAGTAGCTAGGATGACAGGCATGAGCCACTGGTGCCTGGTTCTGATGTTCATTTGACCCTTGTGGGTTTTCTACCTCTTTTCCTCATTCCATGCCTCAGTTTCCCTATTGTCAGGATAAGCAAATAGATCAGAGTAGTTGGATCCTGAGGAATCTACCTCAGACCCTCTCTCTCTGTGTTGTTTCTCTCTCTCTCTCTCTCTCTGGTTAGTCGTGGGGTTTGAACTCAGGGCCTGGGTGCTGACCCTGAGCCCTTTGTGGTCAAGACTAGAGCTCTACCACTGTAAGCCACAGTGCCACTTCCAGTGTTCTGGTGGTTCATTGGAGATAAGAGTTTCTCAGTGACTCAAACTGGATCAGATCTCAACCTCCTGAGTAGCTAGGATGACAGGTGTGAGCCACTGGCACCTGGCTCTCTTCCTCCCTCCCTCCCACCCTCCCTCTCTTCCTTCCTCATTCCTTCCTCTCTGCCATCATAAAGGAGGCCTGTTCCCATATCACTCTATCAGGTTCATCAGAATCCTCCCCCAGCACTCTCCTTTACAGCCCTCAGCTCTGTTCTTCTCTCACCTCGGCTCTGTGAGATTTGCTCATCTAATTGATCTCCAGTGGCCTGGGCCCTAGCTCTGGGCTGCCCACTGAAGTGGAGGTGGAGACTCTGTGTGTGTGTGTGTGTGTGTGTGTGTGTGTGAGAGAGAGAGAGAGAGAGAGAGAGAGAGAGAGAGCTGGGCTGGCTCCTGCCCACCCCCGCACACACCCCGTTTTATGAACTCTCTCAGTTACCTCTCTGTCTTTCTCACCGCAGTATCCTCTATTGCATAAAGTGATTATATCTTTCTAATCCCCCTTGACCCTACCTGAGGGAGTAGGGAAAGAGAGTATTATCTCACTTAAAAACAAAATCAGACAGGAGCAGGGATCGGAAGCTGGCAGAGGTTCCTGAGGGCCCTCAGATGTGGACCCCAGAGCCGGAGGGTGGAAATGCAGCTCCCCATGCCAGTGTGGCCACAAGGGCTTGTCCATGGGTCCTTCCTCCCACCTGTCCATTGGGAACACCGCATTCTACGTTCCGCTCCCCATGCGCTCTGCTACATGTCCAGCCTCCAGTTGATGAGTAGGACCTCGAGTCAGCCCTCCCCGTTTCTCTCTCCCCCTCCCACCTCCCACAGAAGCAAACTGCACCTACTTTAAGTTCTTCACTACGGGGCAGAACGCACACATCTTCCATCGAACCACAAAGAAAGGTGAGTGCTCTCCCCCTGTGACAAGGGCCTGGTGTATGGGGGGGGGGAGGTGTTGGACCTCACTAAAGCAATGGCAGGCCACTGGCTGGCCCCTCTGCAGAGGGCTCCTCCGTGATTTGGGGTGAACCACACTCCTGCTCTGTGGCCCTCACTGAAGCCTCTCCCACCAGGCCGCCTGTGTCCTGCTCATTACAAAGCTCTAGGCCTTCAGTCACCCCACAAGCCGGGCTCAAGTTCAGCTATGTTTGCAATGATTGTTGGGGCAGAGGCAAGCTGCCAACCCAGAGGAATCTGACTGCAGAGCGGGGTCTTGGAGCCTCTGCCACCAGGCAAAGGCTGTGTGCAAATCCACACGCGGCCATGGAGCCCTCGGAATAGGGCTGGTGGGATGGGAAAACGGGCTTCTCATGTTCAATTTTAATCAGTTGTAAATTAAGAGGCCTATGAACCTAAGGGCTGCTCCCGTACCAGACAATACAGCTTAGGAGACTGAATCTTTCCTACTTCAGTCTTCTTCTCACCCAGCCCCAGGCCAATCAGGATCCTGTCATAATCTTTTTTTCTTTTTCTTTTTTCTTTATTTGGACAGTCCTGGGCCTTGAACTCTGGGCCTGGGCACTGTCCCTAAGCTCCTTTGGTTGAAGGCTAGTGCTTTACCTCTTAAATCACAGCGCCACTTCTGACTTTTTTTGGTGATTAATTAGAGATAAGAGTCTCATGGACTTTCCTGCCTAGGCTGGCTGAACTGTGATCCTCAGATCTCAACCTCCTGAGAAGCTAGGATGACCTGCCTGGCCAGTACTGAGGCCTGAACTCCGGGCCTGCATGCTGGGTCCCTGAGCTTTTTCACTCAAAGCTGGAGCTCTATTACTTGAGCCATAGCTCCACTTCTGGCTCTTTGGTGGCTAGTTGGAGATAAGAATCTTACAGACTTTTCTGTCTGAGCTGGCTTTAAACTTTGGTCCTCAGATCTCAGCCTCCTGAGTAGTTAGGATTAAGTGTGTCACTAGCACCCAGTTCATGTCATCAGTTTTACCTAGGTTTTGCAAGAGTTAATCAGAGGATGCAGCTGAACTATTCCATCTCCACCCCTTTCTACCTTGTTCCTGCACTGTATGAGCTTGGTCAGGCGACTATACGCCTCTGAGATACTGAAATCATCCTGGTGCACACAAACAAAGCACCTACTGTGTGCTGTGCACCTGAATCCTCCCCACAGCCCTTTCAGAGGGAGCCTGGTTTTCCAGAGGTGGAAACTAAGGTTGAGAGAGGGTCAAGTCTTTATGGGAGTCTTGCAGCTAGAATTCCAACTTGGATCATTGCAAGATTCCACCTTTATCTTCCATCAACCCTGCTGCCTTGATCTCCTCCCCTCTAAACAAATGGCGCCCAGAGGATGAACGATGGGTAATTCCCACCACCTTCTGATCTCCGCTCTATGCTTTGCTGTATAACTTCAGGCCAGAAACGGGCCCTCTGTGAGCTCCTCCAGGTGTAGGAGCAAAGCCAACAGCCGAGTCCCGCATCTCCCAGCCTCCTGGATTGGGGCTCCTAAAGAGAGGGTCCTCCTCATTCTCCCCTGTTCCCCCGCCCCCCCCGGCAGAGGTGAACCTGGCCGCGGCAGTGATCGCGGTGCTGAGCCTGGCAGTCATGGCCTTGGGCTGTCTCTGTGTCATCATGGTTCTCAGCAAAGGGGCAGAGTTCCTGCTTCGAGTGGGCGCTGTCTGCTTCGGCCTCTCAGGTGAGCCCAAGAGCTTGAAGGCTGAGGACATCTTCACACTCGCTGCATGCTGTGAAGGAGGTGGGCTTTCCACATACCAGTGCATGCTGGGAGGTGGGCTCACCACACACTGGTACATGCTGGGAGGTGGGCTCTCCACACACTGATGCATGCTGGGAGGTGGGATCACCACACACTGGTGCATGCTGGGAGTAGCTGGAAGTAGGGTTATATCATTTTGTGTGTGTGCATGTATATGCACCTGCAAGTCCCAGGGCTTGAACTCAGGGCCTGGACACTGACCCTGAGCTTTTTCGCAGAAGGCTAGTGTTGTATTATTACTTGAGCCACAGCTCCACTTCCAACTTCTTTTTCTGGTTTTTCTGCCCTGCCTGGCTTTGAACCTCCACCCTCAGATCTCAGCTAGGATTACAAGCATGAGTCACTGGTGCCCAGTTTCAAAGGAGTATTTTCCATTTCTCTTTTTCTTTTTCTTTTTATACAGTGCTAGGGACAGAACCCAGGGCGCTGCATGTTAGGCAATCCCTCGACCCCATCCCCAGCCTCCAGAGTGTATGTGCTCACACGCACACGCACATTCGGGGTCTCATGCCTCCAAGGTGGGCGCTCCACCCCTGGAAACACACCCCCAGCCCCTTTCAACTTCTGTTTATTATTCCAGTAGGGTCTTGCTTTATTTTGCAAGACTACATATTCAGCACAGATGGAGTTCGAACATTTCCCCCACTATTTCCGCCGCGTACTTGGTTGAATCGGAGCAGGATGATGTTTGCTGAACGAACGAGTGGGAAGTACAGGCAGTTTCTTGGCCCATAGCAGAGATGCTCAGAGCCCAGCTGGGTTCCAGGGCTGAGGGCCTTGGCCTCTTCCTCTTCTCTCCCCCACAGGCCTGTTGCTCTTCGCAAGCGTGGAGGTATTCCGGCATTCTGTGGGCGCTCTGCTCCAGGCTGTGGGCCCTGAGCCGCCCCCCGCCCCCCGGCTGACCTATGAGTACTCCTGGTCCCTGGGCTGCGGTGTGGCTGCTGGCCTCATCCTGCTGCTGGCTGCTGGCTGCTTCCTGCTGCTCACCCTGCCTGCCCGGCCCTGGGGCTCGCTCTGCCTCAAACGGGGGGACCCAGCCACCTAGAGGTGGGGGGTGGGAGCATTTGCTCTGGCACCTGCCAACTTTGTCTCTCTCTCTGGGGCCCTCCTCGAAGCCTACCACCCACCTACTGCAGAACTTGTGCCACTGTGGGGCCATGATGCTTTCCACACACCAGCCCCACCCCTCAGCCTTTCTCTCTGTAAAGAAGTTTTCCTTGTTGGGCGCCAGTGGCTCATGCCTGGAATCCTAGCTACTCAGGAGGCTGAGATCTGAGGATCGCAGTTCAAAGCCAGCCTGGGCAGGAAAGTCTGTGAGACTCTTACCTCCAGTAAACCACCAGAAAACCAGCGCTCAAGTGGTAAAGCGCCCGCCTTGAGCTGAAGAGCTGAGGGACAGCACCCAGGCCCAGAGTTCAAGCCCCAGGACCAACAACAAAAAAAAGGTTTTCCTTGGTGGCTGATGGCATGTCCCTTGGGGTGACGACAAGAGGCTTTGTATAAATAAAGGACTACCTAGGGAAGCTGGTGGGTGCCTGATGAGGGAACTGAAGGGGGTTATGTGAGGCTGAGGTCGGGGAGTGTCCCAGTGAACGAAAGGGCTCTCTTGTCCACTTGTGGGAGATACTGGGCAGATACGTTAGGGCCTCCCTGATCTGACTGGAGAATAAAGGTTTGAAAATGGAACTGCATTGGTTTGGAGCCTGTTTTCTGGGCGTCCCTGGGGGAGCCTGCTAGCAGCAGTGAACTCAACCCTGAGGTCACAGGAGCCTCAAGTGGCTCGTGGGCAGTTCGCGGAACTGACTTCCAGGAGCAAGGAGCAAATGCGATAATAATCCCCACAAAGCTGCGAGCAGGCCGCCCGGTGCCCGGCATGGCCGCATCTGTCCCTGCGTGGCTGATGACTTCTCAAGTGGCACTTGGGGAGCCAGCATCCAGCGGAGGGCACAGCACCCCCCCCCACGAGTTGACAATCTGTCAGCACAAACAGATCATAATCGCATCATCGAGCTAATGAGTGTGTAATTATAAACGGAGATAAATGCCGGGAGGACAGGCCATCCGCCATTTCTTTTTTTCTTTTTTGGCTTTGTGGCTTAGCCAGCTCAAGGAATCCCTGAGAGATAGATCAGCCCTGGCAGGAAAAACTGGGGGAAGGTGGGGGACGGGGGGATGTATGTGGGGGTTTTGTTTGTTGGTCATGGGTCTTGAACTCTGGGCCTGGGCGCTCTCTCAGCTCTTCAACTCAGGGTGAGCATTGTACCACTTGAGCCACAGCACCACTTCCGGTTTTCTGGTGGTTCATTGGAGATGAGAGTCTCATGGATGTTCCTTCTCAGGCTGGCTTTGAACCTTGATCCTCAGATCTCAGCCTCCTGAGTAGCTAGGTGTGAGCCGCGGGCACCCTGCTTGGGGGAGAGGGGAAGGGAGAGGAGTTTTGGTCTTGGACCATGATTTTGACCAGCAGAGTCTTTACCTAAAGCTGGGTTCCTGATCCTAGCAGGGAGAAGCTGACAACTATGACAGAAGGAGCCTTCAGACCCTCTGTAGCCATAGCCCCTGGGATTAGGCAGTTCTCTAGCACTTGTGACTGTCTGGTAATTTGCCATGGTAAGCCAGGTATGGAAAGACACACCTGTAATCCCAGCACTTAAGGAGGCTGAAGCAGAAGGACCATGAGTTAGAGGCTCATAGCAAGACTGTGTCTCAATTTCTTCCCTCATCCCATGGGTTCCATCACCACCCTTGTACCACCAAGGGGATAAAAACCAAGCCTTCAAGACGTGACTCAGACCTGCCTCTGGTGTTTTGTTGTTTATTTTATGCCGGTACAAGGACTCGAACTCAGGGTCTGAGTGCTGTCCTTCTGTGCAAGGCTGACACTCGACCACTTGATCACCTGCCTGGCACACTAGAGTCCCTGAGTTCACACTGAAGTCCTAGAGAGGAAAAGAGGGGGTGGGGAGGGAGACGGAGAGGGAGAGAAAACCCACCCCAGAACCTGGAATGAAATGACTTCCTCCCTTCACATATTTACATCTGGTAAAGGGAAGTCTGGAAGTTTCTGTGCTGTCTCCGGAAGGTCTCCAGGTTTCCATACAGTCTCTCAGAACCACGCCTCAGGGTGGGGAGATAGGGGGATGCTTTTCCCCTTGGGGTCCCGGCTGGACAAGGAAGGACAATGTGTTCTGGGCCATTCAGGGTATGGTGGATGGGTGCAGGGAGAGGAAGCAGAAGAGGAAGGGAGGAGGAGGAGGAGCTAAGATTCCCGTCAAAGCTGTGAGACTCGAGTACAGGGCCCTGTGGACTTCCAACTGCCACCGTGGTCTCCATCCAGCGGATCCTGTGCTTCTCTTTCTACACTTCCGGCATTGCATGGTCACAAGGCTGGGGGGTGGAGGAGGGGCAAGGTTCAGACAGTGCTTGCATGCTTGGCTCAGCAGAACTTTCCAGACCGCATAAATCTGCAGGGGAGACCAAGGGAGAGGGCTCAGTCACAGGCTCTGGGTTTATCTGTCCCGTGATTTTGTCCTCCATCCTTCCCTCCCTCCTTCCCTTCCTTCCTTCCTTCTGTCCAGAGTCTCATGGACTTTCCTGCCCAGGCTGGTTTCAAACAGTAATCCTCAGACCTCAGCCTCCTGAGTGGCTGGGATTACAGGGGGAAGCCACCAGGCCCTCTCCTGCAGTCTTTCCTTGTCTTCTTACTCACTCACCCACAGCATCCTACTGGGGAAGGACTGGCTGGTTCTGGGGAAAAGAGAGAGGAAGAAGGCGTCAGAAGAGTGGAGGGCTGTGCAGAGAGGAGGAGAAGGTCACAGGTGGGCTGGGTGGGGCTCGAGGCTGTGTAGAACCCACCAATCACTGATATGCACGTAGGGAAGCCCGGAGAGCATGGTACCCCATCTACTTCTTGAAGTCTTCGGGTGATGATCCTAGGAAAAGATGGTGCAGTGAGCACACAAGAACCCACCTTCCCTCTCCTTCCCATCCCCTCTCTCCCCCTCCCCTTCCCTTCCATGTCCCCTCCTTCTTTCTTCCCCCTCTCCCCCCCCCTCCCGCCCAGTATGTCTCCTGAACTCACCACACCCAGTGCAGGGAAAGATGGCAGAAATGCCCAGGCAGAGAAGATAGAGGGAGAGGCAGCCGAAGACAGCGAGGAAGATGGCCCAGCTGTCTGGTGGGAGACAAGTGGGTTCGGCCTATTTTTTGACTAGCAGAAGGGGCCCAGGGCCACAGGAGGCCTGGACACCGAGTGCTCTGAGTTGTCTGGGCAGCTCTTACATGATTTTCCCAGTCCCCCAGGGCCATCTGAGGAACCAAGCTCACAGGGGGGTCTTGTGATCTACGGGCCTGGGAAGGGGCGAGTCCTGCAGTCTCCTTGAGGTGGCGCTGGACCGCTCTCCTGGAGCTGGGTGCCATTGTCCAGTCACAATTGTATGTTCCAGTAACAGGGAATCCAGTTCCCTGCCACCCTATTCCCGCCCGCCGCCCCCACCCCTGCCCTCCCCCCATCCCTGCCCTCCCCAGCCTCTAGCGTCAAACCGCTCAGAATCACTGTGCCGGCATTTTCTCTTTTCACCCCAAATCCAGCCCATTGCCAAGAACAGTTAAGTTCTGTCTCAAAAAACAAAAAAACTCAAGTCAACCTGCCAGAGGTGACAACTTACCACCAGGATTTTGGAGCTAATGTGTGAGCATACAAAAATACAAATTCTTAGCCGGGCACCGGTGGCTCACGCCTGTAATCCTAGCTACTCAGGAGGCTGAGATCTGAGGATCGCTGTTCAAAGCCAGCCTGGGCAGGAGAGACCGTGAGACTCCTATCTCCAATAAACCACCAGAAAACCGGAAGTGGCGCTGTAGCTCAAGTGGTAGCCTTGAGCTGAAGAGCTGAGGGACAGCGCCCAGGCCCAGAGTTCAAGCCCCACGACTGACAAAAAAAAAAAAGAACCAGATGGGTGGGAAGATGGATAGAAGCATGGATGGATGGATCATGGATGGATCATGGGTGGATTGATGTGTGGATGGGGTGGGTGGGTGGATGAGTGGATGGGTAAGTGGGTATGTGGGTGGGTAGATGGATAGACCGATGAATAGATACTGACAGATGGATGGTTGAGTGGATGGGTAGGTAAGTGGATGGGTGGGTGGGTGGATGGATGAATGGATGGATGAGTGGGTGGATGGATGGATAGGTGGATGGTGAGTAGGTAGATAAGTAGATGGACAGACAACCAGGAACAGTCCTGTGTCACTTCCCATAGGAAGCCAGTCAGGGCTCTTGCCTGTAGCTGTGCCCCCTTCCCCCCCATCCCAGGGGCCCTCTCTGCTCTTGGAAGCAGTGGCTGTTCTTTCCCTGGCCATCATGCCTGATCTGTTGACCTTCTGTACCTCAGACTTTCTATTAATTGACCGGACTCTAAAACACCCCGTGCTGTCACATTGCCGAGACCCACTTAGGCCCCCCCCTGAGAGCCTCGTCCCACTTTCCCAGTTCTGCTGGCTTTCTCCTCTCCTGGATCTCCTCTTCCCAGCCAGGCCCACATCCCAGGATCAGAGACCCATGAGTCGGGGCGCACCTGCGCACCTGTCAGCACCAGCTCCACAGCCCAGCTGGGCTGCAACCACTCTGGGGAGGCCTCTGTCCTGTGGACACAGCACAGAAGTCTCAGCCAGAGTCCCCAGGCCCCAGGCCCAGCAGAGGGAACTAGGCCTCATTCCCCCGTGTGTTGTTGGCTCTAGTACCCTCAGTCCCGCTGTCCTGCCCTTTCCTCAGATTGAAGGTGATGGTGTGCAATGCAGCATCACGTTGCTTTCCCCAGGGGGGCCACGGGCCCAGCCAGGCACTCAGGGAGGGTCTGGGGAGTTTCCCTGTAAGGAATTCAGAGAGTATATAGACTCCTTGCTGGTCTTGACCAGGGAATCCCCTTCTAGAATATTCCAGGATTAAGGAAAAGGCCACGGAGGGTGAGGTACAGGTGCACACAGAGGTTCTGTGGAAAGAGACTCATCATGGACTTTCTCGTCTCCGTAACCCAGGCAGAGCCCTGGAAGAGAAACCTGAGGGACGCGTGGTGGGCCTCCCTCAGCAGATGTGGAGCGGAGGGGGCCTGAGGAGCTTGCCGAGCTACCTGCCACCACCACCATCCAGGGATTTTGCATGTTTATCTCAGTTCTTTGCTTTCGTCCTTTGGCAGGTACTTAGAAAAACTACTTGGTGTTAGAACCACTGACTCCTCACTTAATTCCAGACCTATTAGACTAAAAGCAGAAGAAAATGTTCACGTGTCTTCTTTTGACCTAGTGGGGTTTGAACCCCAGGACTTTGCCTTTGTTAGGCAAAGTGTGTGGCCTGGTGTGGCCCTTTCTGTCCTGGTGCTGTTTTGGAGATCGGGTTCACTTTTTTTTTTATGCCCTGGACTGTGATCCACCTGTTTTTGTTTGCTGGCATAGATGGACTGGCAGGTGCTGCTGGCACGCGGAGCTGGCAGTAGTGGATAGTGGTGGGTTGGCAGGGAAGGAGTTCAGGTCAGCTCAGGGACCTGGCTGGCCGGAAAAGCTGCCTCTCACCCCTGGCTCCACTCCTGTCCTGTCCTGTGCTGCCATCTGGTGGCTTAGTCCGGCAGGACTGCCATATTCACGAGTCTGACTGGGTGATCTTCCAAAGGGCTCAGCCCAGGGAATGGGGGCGGCCTCCACCCTCCTGGAGCCTCAGTCTCCACATTCCCGGGGTGGACAGACATCAGCGTGGGTGTGGCAGACGTTCCCCAGGCCTCAAACCCCCACATCCTCATTTCGGTCCTGTCCTGTCTTGAGCGTCCCCAAGTCTTTCTTGGCCATCCAAACACTGATCCGGGGACTCACCCAGACAGAGCAGGCTCAGGATCAGGGTTCCCATGACTCCCCACTTGCCGGTGTCCGTGTCCAGCCGGCAGCTTTGGGTGTGGGGTGGGGCAGAGCCGCTGGAACTGGGCTCCATGGGTCCTGTAGGCTGGGCTCTGATGCTCTGGTCTCTCCGTGTCGTGGGTTCTCAATTTCCTCCTGCAGCTGGGCATCTGTGACCACGTCTTCCCCTGCATCCTGTGCATAGAGCTCTTCCGTGCAAATCCGAAGGCTTGTGCAAGACTTTTGGGGTGGGGTGCTGGGGACAAACCAGAGGCCTTGCGTGTATTAGGAAATTGCTCCATCCCTGAGCCACAACCACAGCCCTTGCCTTTCTGCTTTCTCTGAGGATCTTTGGAGTGGCTCAAATTGTGTTTGTTTGTTTGGGTCCGGTCGTGGGGCCTGAACTATGGGCCTGGGCGCTGTCCCTCAGCTCTTCAGCTCAAGGCTAGCGCTCTACCACTTGAGCCACAGAGCCACTTCCGGCTTTTTTCTTTTTGCTTATGTGGCTCAGTGGTAGATTGCTTGCCTTGCATGCATGAGGCCCTGGGTTCAATTCCTCAGCACCACATAAGCAGAAAAATCCAGAAGTGGCACTGTGGCTCAAGTGGTAGAGTGCTAGCCTTGAGCTCAAGAGCTGAGGGACAGCACCCAGGCCAGAGTTCAGGCCCATGACTGACAAAAATAAAAAATAAATAAATAAAAGAATCTTATGGACTTTCCTGCCTGGGCTGGCTTTGAACCTTTACCCTCAGATTTTAGCCTCCTGAAGATGACAGGCGGGAGGCACTGGTGCCCAGCTAGACTTCTCATTCTTGTTAGAGAAGACCAGAGAGAAACAATGCTGGTGGTTTGGATTTGGCAGTGATACTCCATGTGCGGCATATGCTTTGGGAGAGACGGTGGCAGGGGGAGGAGAATGCAGGAACTTTTTTTTTTTCCTACTGTTTTCACAACTTTCTGGAGCCTGACACGGTTTCGAAATGACATGTGCTGGGTGGCTTTCCTAGCAAGGGGATCCTGCGACCACCCCCAAAATGACTCACACAAATCCACTTGGACAGGTAAATGAGTTTAATGGGGTTCATTTGCAGAGTGGGGGGTTGACTTTGGAGGGGGTCGGTTTCCCCTGAAGACGCCCCCATCCCCACCCCACCTCTCACCCTCCTGGTTTCATAGATGGCGGCGGGCCTAGAGCGCCACCTAGTGCCCGGACACCAGCATTAACTACAGGTGCAACATCTCAGGAAGTGTGATGTGGGGCGTGGGCTCCATCCGGGCACTGCCGGGTGCTTTGATGGTCCGTTAGCCTATGGGAAAGGTGGCTTGGTTTGCTGCAGTCTGGCTATGTGGTGTCTTGCCATAAGATGGCATTGCTCTGGTTACGGCTCAGTTGACTAGTGTCATGACATGTAAAAGAAAAACAAGAGCCGGGCGCCGGTGGCTCACGCCTGTAATCCTAGCTACTCAGGAGGCTGAGATCTGAGATCAGCCCGGGCAGGAAAGACCGTGAGACTCTTATCTCCAATAAACCACTAGAAAACCGGAAGTGGCGCTGTAGCTCAAGTGGTAGAGCGCTGGCCTTGAGCTGAAGAGCTGAGGGACAGTGCCCAGGCCCAGAGTTCAAGCCCGACAAAAAAAAAAAAAAAAGAAAAGAAAAGAAAGAGGGGGGAGGGAGGGAAGGAAGAAAGAAAGAGAAAGAAAGAGACAGAAACCAAGAAAGAAAGGCAGCTGGGCACCCATGGCTCACGCTCATCATCCTGGCTTCTTACAAGGCTAAGATCTGAGGATCTGAGGGGGAAAAAAATCCATGAGAACTTTATCTCTAATTAACCAGTAAAATACCAAAAGAGGAGCTGTGGCTCAAGGGGTAGACTACCAGCTTTAAGTAAAAAAAGACAAATAAGAGTGCAAGGCCCTGAGTACAAGTCCCAGTACCAAAACACACACACACACACACACACACACACATGCATGCATGCACGCATGCACACACCCAATGAGCTGGGAGAAATGTCTTGAGGACATGCTGGCACGAGGTAACTGAAGATTTGTGGGGGTCTTGAGGTGCAGGAGAGGCTGTGACAAGAGGACAGTCCTTGCTTGGAGACCTCTTGGCCTCCAAGCAAGCTCTAAGCCAGGGGGTGCCTCACCCCGCTTCAGGATGTGTGTATGGTACAGTAGACAGCACTTGCTCTTGCTCCCTGCTCTGCAATGGCTGGGCCTTCAGCTGGTATTTAATAGGAAAGAAAATTTTTAGCAATTTAGAATTTGTGTGTGCACATGTCAGTTATGGGGCTTGAACTCAGGGCCTGGCTGCTGTCCCTGAGCTTTTTCAGAGCTAGTGCTCTTCCATTTTGAGCCACAGCCGCACTTCTGAGTGATAAATTGGAGATAAGAGTCTCATGGGGACTTTTCTGCCCGGGCTGGCTTTGAACTACAACCCTCAATGCTCAGCCTCCTGAGTAGCTAGCATGACAGGTGTGAGCCACTAGCACCTAGCTTTAGAGATTTGATGAGTCCAAATGAATGAGGAAAACCTCATGAAAATAGTCCACCTGAGATGCTATTTGTGCCTCAATGGAAAAACACGAGCAATCTCCATGCTGGAGTCCCATGTCATCCGGTGTCCACCCCTGGGACTCTAGGGCACAAGGCTGAAGTGGACAGATCATTCAAACTTACCAAAACAATACAACCACAAGGAGTAGACCTTTACTTGCTGCTGGAGGGTGTCTCTCTCATTCCTGTCCTCCTATCTACTCAGGAGGCTGAGAACTGAGGATCTCAGGTCGATGACAATGAGACCCCAGAGGCAGGCAGAAAGCCCTCGTAACTATACCCCAGGCATGGAAAAGTAAAGATGGCAGCCATGCTGACCTGGGTTCCCTGGGAGATCACCCCAGCTGTGCCAAGCTTCAGCCAAGAAGATGCCCAGCAGCGCCACGACCATAGCAGCCATTCCCAGCCGGATGACAAGACACTTGTGGCGGCCCCTGGCAATGGCAGACAGGGGAGCTGAAAGAGAGGAAGGGATCCACACTGGTGGTCAAGACACACCCTTGCCCCACACAATGGGGCTCCTTCCCTTCCTTCAGCCACTCAGGTCCTAGCCAGTACTTTCAGCAACCTTCCTTCTTTCTTTCCTTCCTTCCTTCCTTCCTTCCTTCCTTCTTTCCTTCCTTCCTTCCTTCCTTCTTTCCTTCCTTCCTTCCTTCCCTCCCTCCCTCCCTCCCCGCCACCTCTCTCTGTTTGTCCATCTCTCTCTGTCTCTCTGTCTCTCTCTGTCTCTGTCTGTCTGTCTGTCTCTCTCTGTCTCTCTCTCTCTTTTCCTTTCTTTTGTGTCCATCCTGGGACTTGAACTTAGGGCTTAGGCGCTGTCCCTGAGCATGTTTTAGGCAAAGCTAAAACTCTACTACTTGAGCCCACAGCTCTACCTCTGGCTTTTTCTAAATAGTTTATTGGAGATAAGAGTCTCACTGACTTTCCTGCCCAGACTGGCTTTGAACCGCGATCCTTAGATCTCAGCCTCCTGAGTAGCTAGGGTGACAGGCGTGAGCCACCCCGGCATCTGGCCAGACCTTCTGTGCTAGCTACCCAGGGGCCCTGCTCCTTGGCAAGTCTCAGTAGCCTACAAGAGAACTTGCAAGGCAGAGAGTGTGTGTGATGAGGCAGTGCTGTCGCAGGAAACAAGCTCATTTTAGGAGAATTCTAGATCGGTGAGATGTGAGTAGATTCGGCGCCATTACATTACAGCAGCAGGAAGTAGGAAAACCCACATTAGGTCACTGATCACAAGAAAAACGAAGACAAGAAGAGCTGCCCATTGGGCTGGGAAGGTGGCTCAGTGGTAGAGCGCTTGCCTTGCATGCATGAGGCCCTGGGTTCGATTCCTCAGCACCACATAAGCAAAAAGCCAGAAGTGGCACTGTGGCTCAAGTGGCAGAGCGCTAGCCTTGAGCTGAAGAGCTGAGGGACAGTGCCCAGGCCCAGAGTTCAGGCCCCATGACTGGACCCAAAAAAAAAAATTAAAAAAAAAAAGAAGAAGAGCTGCCCAGAAGGCCGGGCACTGGAGGCTCATGCCTTGAAGAAATCCCAGCGACTCAGGAGGCTGAGATGTAAGAATCACAGTCTGAAGTTAGGTTGTGTAGAAAAGAGCATGGAACTCTTCTTTCCAATGAATCACCAGAAAACCAGAAGTGGAGCTGTGGCTCGAGGAGTAGAGCGGCAGCCTTGAGCACAAAAACTCAGGGACAGGACCCAGGCTCTGAGTTCAAGTCTCAGTACTGATATAGAGCCAGACGCCCCACCCCCCCAAAAAAATCAGTGGATTAAAAAAAGAAGAAAGAGAAATCAGGATGAGCACAGAATCATAGAAGCCATCACCTGCCACCACCACCTGCAGGGCCTCGCTGGGACTCGAGGCCCAGGACAGGGCTTGGGTCTGGAGATACACACAACGGTAGCGCCCGGTGTCAGTGCCTGTCACCCGGGAAAGGGTGAACGCCACGCTGCCCCCTGGTGAATGTTGAATCTGGATGGGTGACGCAGCTCCCTCCTTCAGCAGGGCGAAGGTGGTGTTGTCCGTCCTCTTGTCCGGCCTCTGGCACCGCAGGGTCACCTGCCCACCCAGGGCCACCCTGTCCCCCAGGTGGCTTCTCAAGGAAGGGCTGGGTGAAGTGCCTGTGCAAGGAGGAGGCCCTGAGTCAGGGGAAGTAGCCTGTGATCCCAATCACCACCATCTTGCCCTCTCCCCCTGACCCCCCAGTAGGGAGGACCCAGGTGCCAGCCATCCTAGGACACAGATTTTTATTTGCCAATGGTGGGACTTGAACTCACAGCCTGGGCGCTGTCCCTAAGTTCTTTTGTTGAAGGTTAGTGCTCTACCACTTTGAGCCACAGCTGCACTTTGGGATTTTAGGTGGTTCATTGGAAATAAGTGTCTCCTGGATTTTCCTGCCCAGGCTGGCTTTGAACCAGAATCCTCAGATCCTGAGTGGCTGGGATTACAGGCATGAGCCACCAGTGTGGGTCACTATGGGTCACACTCAGAGGCGCCACCCCCCCCCTCACCTGTGATCAGTAGCATCAGGGCCTCACTGGGCTCTGACACCAGTCCTGGGCTTCCTTTCCAGTAATATTCGCATGTGTAGGGCCCCATGTCACCAAGCCCCAGGTCTGTGAGAGGAAACTCTGCGGTGCCTTCGGTCAGAGGGTTTGCCAGGCGGGCGCTCCAGCGCCGGGCCTCCTTCCTGAGGACCAGGCGCATGCCTGGGGTGGGGCTCGAGCACTTCAGGGTCACCTGACCCCCGGCAGGGACCACAGAGCTGGGCCAGGCACTGAGGCGAGGTTTGGGGAAGCCTGGAAGGAAGAAGAGCCCAGGGTGGAGCTGCTACCTGGGGCGGGGCTGGGGGGGGAGGGGGGAGGGAAGCAGCCAGGCAAGGGGCAAGCCCAGGGACGATGTGACCCTCACGTGAGATCCTACACAGGCCTGGAGGCCCCCCCAATATCTCAGCAAACAGAGGATTTCCCCTCCCCATTTCCCCCACACACATCAAAATGGCCACTTGATAGCTCAATTGTCAAAAAGCAAAACATGACATGGCCAAGCACCAATGGCTCACGCCTGTCATCCCAGCTACTCAGGAGGCTGAGATCTGAGGATCCACAGTTCAAAGCCAGCTGGAGTAGGAAAACTCCTTGAGACTCTTATCTCCAATGAACCAGCAAAACAAACAAAAACAAAGCCGAAGCAGAGAGCTGTGGTTCAAGCGGTAGAGTACTCGCTGAGCGAAAGCTAAAGGACAGTGTCCAGACGGAGCATTCCAGCCCCTGTACAAAACAGAACATAACAAAGCTGGGCGCTGGTGGCTCACGCCTGTAATCCTAGCTACTCAGGAGGCTGAGATTTGAGGATCTTGGTTCAAAGCCAGCCTGGGCAGGAAAGACCGTAAGACTCTTGTCTTCAATAAACCACCAGAAAACCGTAAGTGGTGCTGTAGCTCAAGTGATAGCCTTGAGCTGAAGAGCTGAGGGACAGCGCCCAGGCCCAGAGTTCAAGCCCGACAAAAAAAAAAAAAAAAGAAAAGAAAAGAAAAACAAGCCGGGCGCTGGTGGCTCACGCCTGTAATCCTAGCTACTTAGGAGGCTGAGATCTGAGGATCACAGTTCAAAGCCAGCCCCGGCAGGAGAGACCATCTGACTCCTATCTCCAATAAACCACTAGAAAACCGGAAGTGGCGCTGTGGCTCAAGAGTTAGAGCGCTTGCCTTGAGCTGAAGAGCTGAGGGACAGCGCCCAGGCCCAGAGTTCAAGCCCCACTGCAGACAAAAAAAAAAAAGCCAGGCACCAGTGGCTCATGCCTGTAACCCTAGCTACTCAGGAGGCTGAGATCTAAGGATCACGGTTCAAAGACAGCCTTAGGCAGGCACATCCATGAGACTCTGATTTCCAATTAACCACCAGAAAACCAGAAGTGCGGCTTTGGCTCAAGTGGTAGAGAGCTAGCCTTGAGCTGCAGAGCTGAGGGATAGCACCAGGCCCCGAGTTCAAATCCCATGACGAGAGAAAGAAAGAAAGAAAGAAAGAAAGAAAGAAAGAAAGAAAGAAAGAAAGAAAGAGGGCTGGGAAGGTAGCTCAGCGGTAGAGTGCATGCCTTGCAAGCATGAGGCCCTGGTTCAATTCCTCAGCACCACATAAACAGAAAAAGCCGGAAGTGGTGCTGTGGCTCCAGTGGTAGAGCGCTAGCCTTGAGCTGAAGAGCTGAGGGACAGTGCCCAGACCCAGAGTTCAGGCCCCATGACT